CAAACCAATTGAGAGGAACGATCAAATGTATTGATTTTACAAGATGTGTATAATTTTTTTCATTTCTGTCGGTCATCAACAATGGGTAGTAAAAATATTCCGAATTTCGAGATCAGCATTTTTTCTGTTAGAAAAGTGAATCTAGTTGGTACTTTTTGGATATCGAAACCGAAATTTTTAGTTTTAGATATTAAAAAGTGTCAAAAAAAAAAAAAAAAAATCATTTTTACCTAAAACTAAAAATTTTATTTTTTGGTGTAACTCGAAAACTAATAACCGTAGACCATTGAAGTTTTCACCAAATATTTATATTAATATTTTCAATAAATTACATTTTGGACAATTTTTACTTTTTTGAGTTAGTTATAGCCTTGAGAAATTGTTTTAAATTTATAGATTATTTTAAATTAAACATTTTTTTTTGTTTAAGCCCGAATTTTTGTCTGCTGACTTTAAAAATTGCAAAAAAAGTTTTTGAGGTGTGTATTGAAAAAGATAATAAGGGGCCTCAATATTTTGGTTTTGCACACAGGCCTCAAGTAGCCTAGTTACGGCACTGAGTACAGTAATAGATATCTGTTACAAGATTTGTTCAGTTTAGAATATTATTACAACTAAAGTCAATATTTTATTTTATTGTAAAAATTGACTTACACACTCGACAATACGAAAAAAGCAACAATAGTTTTTTGTGTTCACAAATTTATTTTTAATTATCGAACAAAAACAATATAACATTTTTTAATTTTGAATATAATTTCAAAAACGGAAACAATTTTGGAAACGGTTGCCGATATATTATTATACAATTTTGTATGTTCAAAAAAAAGTTAGAACAAAAAAGAAAAAGCCGAAATTTGTAAAGTGAATATTATTCGATATAAGTAAAGAAAATTTAAATACAAAAAAAAAAAGCATCGGTCAAGACGACGCGATGTGGGGGGGTACGTGGTGGCGAGTTGGTGGTGCTGATGATGTATTGGTAACTGGTATATGGCCACTGGTCACCTCTACAACGTTCTCACGGGCTGTCCTGCGGGGCGGACGAGAGTCGCGGGCGAGTTTGCTCGAGACCGCCAAGACGACCATGGCAGCGGACGAAGCCCGGCCACGACGGCTGCGAGAGCGACGACGATTGGCGACGAGAAGCTAGTACGCGATGTCGTGCGCTGCTTGACGGTACTGCGGGTGCTGAAGACGACTGCTTGTGCCGGCAACGACGGTGACCTGCAAAGCTCGGAGAGGCGAGCTGGCGACTACGATCTCGGTGCAGCTGCGGAATCGGCGGCGTTGCGACTCGGGATCGGACCACTGGGCGAAAAAGGGAGAAAATCTGCAGACAGCTTCGCGACGACGCGCCGCTGTCCTGATAGTCTCCGTGATTTTCGCCCTGGCGTCTCCGTCTGCCGCAGCCGATGTCCACGGAGCCGCGCACCGTCGAACCAGACGAAACGTTTCGTTTCCTCGAGCCCGGCGCTGCTGACGTCCGTGGCGTTCCTAGCTATACAGTATACCCTGTAATCATAGTCATCCGTCGCTCACCCGCCGTGAGCTCTGAGGTCTCCGTCGCCGCCGTCACGCGAGTCACGCAGCACTGCAGCGTTCGTCACTGAGCAGGTACCGTGTCGGGGACGGCGTCGTTGTCCGCGCCGGTACCGCTAACCTCCGTCGTCGTCGTGTCGTCGTCGCTCCCGGACCGAAGCAGCCGGGCGCCCGCCGCGCCGCCAGAGGGTCTCGCGTGTCTCGCGTGTCTCGGCGACCTCGAGCTCGCATTTCCGCGATCCCGTCGCGCTGCCGCAGGATGGCCGGAGAACGTGTATCGGCGACTTACCGCCGGTCACCACCTGAATGTGCACTGCCGCGTACCTATTACCTCGAAACCCCACACGTCGCCTCGTCTTGTCCGCTGCCCTCGGCCAGGGGGAAACTTTTGGACGGTTTCACTTCGGGGGACAACAACAGCGCAACACGCGTGCGGCTCTCGTCAGGCCTCTCCACGCAGAGGACACCAGTCTCGCCGTTGCACTGCGCGGAGCTGCGCGTGTTTCTGCCTTGACCCCCGGGTCCAGCCAACCAATCAAGATCCCGATACTATTTCTGACTTCCAGTCCTCTGGCCGGTGTGGCGCCCACCGCCTCGCCATCCAGCTCTTTTTTCGCGGCTTCCTGCACCGGAGGCGCGACCACTTCAACGATCGGTTCAACCGGTTCTGCCATTTTGTCAGATTTGTCGACCGGTTGAAAGACGTTGGACGGGACGTAGTCGTCCCCCGCGAAGCGCGTCGCATACGATAAAAGTCCTTCCAGGTCTCCGATGGTAGGCTCTTGGTCGATGTCGTCTATTCGTTTAAGTTCTTCTTCCATAATCTCGTACTCGACGTTGCTTATTATTTTTCCCAAGATTTGCATGATAGTTGTTTCCATTTCCTTTTCTTCGATATGCGATGCAGCCATTTTTTCGTTCAGGTTTTTTTTTTGTCCGCGTAAGGTTAGGTCAGATTATATACTCAGATGAGCTCAGAGTTGCAAATGTGCCGATTTCGGTATTTATTCCTGGGCCGTCGACGATGATTTTAAACAAACATCGTTTATTAGTAGCCAGCATATTATTATATTAATCGACGGCCGGCATCAGCTGGATTTCGGGCCCGTTAATTTTTCCAAATGCCATTATTACGACTATTATTGGTATACCGACTCTAACTGTATATACTTACGCAGAGGTACACTATAATAATTGTATTATAATATTTTAACGAGGATTTATATGTCGATCTGCATTATATTACTATACTGTCGTATATATAATATATATACTCGCCTTATACTTTTGTAGGTACCTATAAGATTTTTAGATTCAGAACGGAACGCGACCAATGCGTATTGCGATTTTACAATTATTGTTTTTTGTGTATGTGTTGGGGTGTACCTATATTGCGTTCTATACAGTGCCGTAAAAACCGGGTGTGCAGAGTGTGTACCACACACAGGCCTCGGGCCCCATAATATATCGAAGGGCCTCAGAAGATCTAAAGACTAATATTAAACTAATATAAAATTATTAAAATATATAAATTAATTATTTATTTTTTAACCTAGTAAATTACTAGGTTTATATGATGGCGTTAAAACGGTTTATACTCAAACCGTTTTGAAAGTTAAAACGCTAGCGCTATGTAGTTTAAGAATTCAAAACCGTTTTATATGTTTTGTTATGCTGTATTTAATTATTTTTGATTATCGCATTCCGTTATAATTACGTTTACAAACATGTATCGTTTTTTGTAAAAAATAAAACGTTATAATCAATAATCATAATGTTATTATAACGTTTGCAAGCTCTGCCATATCCATAAAATATTGCAATTTTTCAACCACTTCAAGATTGAAATTCCCAACTTACCTATTTAAATCACAATAAATTATATTTTCAATTAGGCTGAATTGTATTGTTAATTTATTTATTGTACAACCTAATTTTTTTATGGTCTATAGAACTGGCCCTTCTGAATACAAAAAAATCGGCAGAATTGTCGACCGGTTTTTTTGTCTGCTGACTTTAAAAATTGCAAAAAAAGTTTTTGAGTTGTGTATTGAAAAAGATAATAAGGGGCCTCAATATTTTGGTTTGCACACAGGCCTCAAGTAGCCTAGTTACGGCACTGGGTATAATATACCTATAAGAATAATGTTATAATGAAAATAATAGAAATGTATACTTTATTCACAGTACTTATAGGTGAGGTCATGTTAGTTATCCCAAAATTGTATTATTGTATCAAAATATAAATATTTTGTATACTATTACTAATACGCAAATACGAAAAGTTTTTTTCGTTGCCAGTGAAAAATTTCAACTTTTAAAAAATTGTGATTGTTCAACTCATTTTGGGGTGTTACTCAGCAGACTAATGACCCGATTTATAATAGTAGATTACGCTTAACCCATTGATTTTACCAGCTAAATTCCGCGGTTGAACCTGAGATCAACTATTGTAATGCGGGCGCTAAGTCGATTCGCTGTCTGTGTGTGACCAAGTAAGCAATTTGCAATTTTTTTGAAAAATGGTTTTTTTGCATATTATTGTTTAATATTTTTTGTTGTATAATTCAATCCTGAATTTGTATCGATCCTATTGGATTATTCAATGAGATACAGAGAATGAAAAGGTTCTAATTCGTACGTGAATGGTAGGTACGGGCTAACTTAAAAACGTTCCCCTAAACAATTACGAAAATTACGTTAGAACCTTTTCATTCTGAGACAAAGCAATGGCAACCAAATAATAAATACTAATTATTTCTCCTATAACCAATAACAACCATTTATGAATGGATATAGATCATATAGATTTTTATATTATATTAAATAATCTGCATGTAAAGGTGTTCAAAATAAACGCGGTAGGTGCTTGGAGAGTAATAAATAATTGTTAGACGTGTTTGACTTAAGCAGGTCAGGGAGTTGAAAAAAAATCAACAATTTGAGGTCATCCACGGCCGTATTATATTTATTTTATAAATTAATTTTCAATAAATTAAACTTTAAGAAAAAAAAAATCAAGTATTGATATTGAAAATTAGCGTACCAAGTTGAGCGCATAATAATTTATTGTATAACTTCGTTTACGTTTCGGTCACGTGCGCTGCAGTGTTCGACAGCCGAATCGCAGTTAATTTTCAGAATGCAGTGAAATTTCGATTCAGATTTTCTTGTCCTCTCAAAGTTAATTCACAAAACTTTTGATATTATATTTAGCACATTCTATTTAAATTATTATATTGTTCAAACTAGGTACAATCCTTTATTTGTTCGTTTAAAAGAATCTAAAATTACCTAATAATAGCCAGGGATGGATAAAATCACCCCTTCTGTTAAAAAAAAATAAATATATTTGTATGTGTGCGTTCGTTTAAATCAAAATATATCATAAATTATAATTCAGGACACCCAACACGCTGTACTAAAATCGTGGTGAACAAATTGTTATCATACAAGTGTCATTGTTTTGGGTGGCTAAACCTCTTTAACCCCCTTATTTGCACCCACAGATTCCATCCCGCCCCCACCACCATTTTCACGGACTGGCCTGCCCCCGATTTCGATGAGTCGTCTCGATTTTCGTCCACGTCATGTGTCCACCGGATGAGGCCCTTCTGAGTTCGGCCCTTTGCTTCATGTTCCGCCTTCATCAACCTCGATTTTCCACGTGCCAACCATGATGACATCGCTAAATCCGTGACCACCATCGAAGTTTTTCGTCACGTCACTCGCCGTCGCAGAAGAATGACTATGATATTTGTCTGTTTTTTTTCGACTTCACCGAGTTTGTATTCGTTTCGTGTTTGGTTTCGACTCGTCCGTTTCAGTGTTGTCCAAACGTCGACCACCAACGAGTGATCATAGCTTCGAGATGCTTTGTATGGACTTGCGTTTACAATTTATTGACAATGTCCGTTGTTCGCGGGTTGTTTTTTTTAGCCGTCGATCTGCAATTTTGTGTATGTCTAGGAGGGTAGAGGGAGGAGTAATACGATTTTAGTTTTCAAATGTTTTTACGACTTCGATAGCGGATATACACTCGAATATCTGAAAACTTTTCTCTTCACACCGGCTTAATGCATTTATTATTGTGATACGACTTTCATGCGCTGCAATGAGCGACGCGTCGGAATCGTATACGCGTCCCTAAACGGTTTCGAGTGTATTAAACCAGAAAATTGATTTACGTTTAACGCAGCTGCTACTGTTCGAATTTCCACACGTATCATTATTATCAGACCGGCTAGACGTACATTATTATAATAGGTAATTGACGTAACAACATACAATATAACAAACGAGATTCAGATAATATTATGGGCATCATAATATAATTAGTCACGAGTCGCATACTCGCATATTACAATATGGTAGTATACCATATATGGTAATAGTATTATGTTTATTACAATAAATATTATATTTTATTCTTCTCACAGTGTGTATATTATTATGATCGTAAATCACAAGTACCATAACTAACCGTATACTGAACATATTGTTATATGAAAGTTTGGTTATATAGTTATATTATTTTATGCTCAACGAGTGTTGGTAAAAAATAAATATATATTTAAAAATAAATTCCTCACTCCGCTCAGGTTCTAAAACTGGTTTAGGCTTGCACCGAAAAAGTTTCAGCACAAAACCTTTGTTTTAACAAAATAAAATCTATATCTATCTTAATTTTTAATAGAAATGAAACGATCACGATCGTCACCAATATTGACTTCTACTTTGTATCCACATGTATAACAGCAGATAATAATTTGAAGTCTTTATAAATTTATAATATATTATACGATATGATAATAATTCACCAATAAAAACATGTTTCGCTGGTGATTTGCATTGTATTTTATTACACAATTTTAAAAAATGTGCAAAAAGTATTTTAATATCTAAACATAAAATGCTAAATAATATGCACTTATATTATCATAAGGAAATATGCACTTTGAAATAAAAATAATATATTATGCAATGTAAGATGTTGCACTGATATACCTACCTAATACGTATTTTTTAGTCTTATTATTGGCCATTTTGGAAAGACTATTGAATATTATTCAAATTCCTATTTAATATGAAAACCTTCCATCGCTAATTATATTATACGAAAAAAAAAAAGCGTGATCGAATTCCGAAGCGTGAATAAATATTTTTACGCCATCGTTTAATCGAAAACAAAAAAATAAAATAAAGTAAAAATTACCATAATAAAACAAAAATTTGTCTATAAATCAACGGGGGTAACGTGGTGGTGTTGGTGGGGGTGAAGAGGGGAGAAAAACGGTTAAATTTCGTTGCCTGCATGTATATAGAGTACGATATACGAATAAATAAACTTTAATTACTGAAGTTTAAAATGCGTTTCGGGAACAATTTGTTGGAAAAAAAAAACAAAAAAAATCCTTAACGCGGTGAAACTGCCCCTGCAGCAGTTCGCCATCGTCGTATAAACATATATATATATAATCGGTCGGGTGACGAAATATATTGTATTATTATTATAGAGAGGACGTTGCAGGCGGCCGTTATCTGCAGCCGCAGCAGCGACACGACGTATATAGCAAGCGTGTCGATAGTGTATAATATATTATTATTATAGCATACTATACGCGTATAATATAATTTTATAGGATACCCCCCAGAGTAGGTAAAAATGCCGCGAAAAAAACAAAAATGTCATACGGCTTGTATATATTATATTGTGCGGTGAAACCGTTGGCTCGGCGTTGACACCCGGTAGCGGTATATTGCTGGTAGGACTCGGTATATTATGATATAAATATATATTATAATACTCGAGTGTACTAAAACGAATGGGCACGTATATCGTTGTGTATAAAATATATTATTACGACGTAATATAGGAGGTACCTATACGCGATTGTCCGCACGATTTCATCACGTCAAATAATAATCTATATATAGCTAGGTACAGGATGCATATTCTCCGAGCCCACTCTAGTTTTTTACCTTTGATAGCGAATGCGTTTTGGAAATTTTAAGAGGTGACCGTACACGAATGAGAAGAGGACGTGTCTACTATTATCTACTGCAAATTGTTGAGCATTCGATATTTTTCAAAATGTATTATTGACGTAGGTACCTACATCAAAATATAAAAAATTAAATAAAAAAAGTTGCTCTGCTGTACAGTAGGTTACAAGTGGGTCACTGTATAATGGAAGGTATTAAATTTGAATTCAATGATATAATATCATTGTACATAAGAAAAACGATCCTGAACGGAGACGGTATGTCAGTCGAGGTATAAGACATATTATATACTTATCTATGGTATTAAAAAAAATTTACCCATAATAGGTACTTACCTATAACAAATTCCAAATTAATCATATTAATTAGGTACTTATAACGCGTCATACATCAATAATAAACCCTGATAGGTACTATAATAAATATATAATTTAGTGTATTACTCTCATTATTTGTTATGTAATTTAAATTTTTTTCCTTTCTCAATAAACGATGTTATATAGGGACAAATATTGTGCAAATGGTTCACACCCATGGGGAGCGAAATTACAAAAAGAGATGACTGATGATTTGATATTATATAATATATATATTAGATAATATTATTACGAGTAAGATATAATATACTCGTAGGTAATCTATTAATATACAAGGCTATTGTTTAATATATGTAAATTCTCATTCACTCATACAGTATCAATCAACGTATTTGGAAATATTGTTATTGTAATATTATAATCTATTCAGTCATTATAAAATAATATTTTAAAAAAAAAACAATAATATTTACTATTTTTAATGTTATTATTTTTTAAGGTTTTACTCTTTTATTACATGTCAGCTATATTTTTAGTATTCATATCCCGAAATTGATTAGTTTCTGAGAGTGTCATAATACGGAATTCTGCAAGATTTATTTTAGTTTCTAATAGTTATTAAGTACCTACCTTGTTATAAATAAAATTTCTAACCATAGGTAGGCAAGTACAAAGAGTGGAGTGAAGTGGCAACATTTTTATCCACTAATCTGCTCATAAAAACTTCAAATACTTATAAATAATTCTACTATTAAGAACCTCACAAGATTTGGACGGACATAGCGTGTTATATGTAGCTACGTCGCAGCACGTCGCTAAGTCCTCTACATAACATATATTCACTATTGGTTGGATAAAACATTGTCTCACAAGCTTTTTTTTCATCGGACTTCAGCAGGTAAGTCATTATATTGGTCATTTATGGTGCTACTATAATGCAATAATAACAGTCTACAGGTCGATATACTCGTAACTTCACACTTTTCAGTAAATAAAAATTATTGTTATTATCATACGATGTCATAAGACTGCTGTAGTTGAGTGGAAAGATTAACTTTTAAACACCTGGTTTCACAGAGGAAGATTCCAATTTTATGTCTTTAACTTTTAATATAATATTGTAGAGTAAATTGGCCTATCATTCAACTTAAGCTTTAAATAAAATTATCTATGGTTTTTGCGTCATTTTAATAAATTCTTAAGAGGACGCTACACCCGCATGTGTTGTCTCCGTCTTACAAACGCGTAACATAGCAAATTACGTCCACGGAAAACAAACGAATCGGCATCAAAAAGTGGTTTTAGAGTAAAAATACCTATAATAAAACTTAAAGAGAACAATATTTTGGAGGGAACCTCATCGGCGTTTTTAAAAATATTAACTATTAAAAAAGTTGTGGTTATTTAAAAAAAGAGTTTTTGTGCCTTCAATATCTAGCTGTGTATTTAGATTAATACAAAACCCCGATGAGGTTCCCTCCGAAATATTGTTCTCTTTAAGTTTTATTATAGGTATTTTTACTCTAAAACCACTTTTTGATGCCGATTCGTTTGTTTTCCGTGGACGTAATTTGCTATGTTACGCGTTTGTAAGACGGAGACAACACATGCGGGTGTGGCGTCCTCTTAAGCGTGTTATGAGCATTCCGGAATATTAATACTTTATATTTAACTTGACTGTTTGTAGAAAACCTGCGTATAGATAATATTCATGGATAATAATATTATACCATTATAAATACCTAATAAATCCACTATAATATTAAATTTAGTTCTGCTGAACAGAAATTTTCATGTAACACGTAGACATGACATGCTGCTATACCATGCGGTTTTGGGTTTGATTTAAAGACAAAAAAGTTTCAAAACTGAAAATTCAGGAAATTTCAAGTGTTTACACAAAATTAGCTGCAGGAAAAACCTGCACCATTCGAAATTAATATTTTATCCGAAATCGAAGAACCAAGCCGAGTACGTTAAATTCAATGCTTTGTTCGCTTTATATTATGAAGGCACAACAATATACTCTCAGGTCCTCCTCGTGGTTCTATGACACCGTCTTCAAAGATTGAAATCGAATACGAAGTTGCTGTAATTATGTTTTCGCCGTAGCGATATTACACGACGTAGGTATTATATATTATTATATTATAATGACTGCGGTTCGCGGTACAGATAATGTGGCTGTTTGATATTGTAATATTAATATCACGTCAACCGGTGTGTGCAATATATACTTTGAATTTGTTTTTAAAAAAAATCTCTTCTCCCGTTTATTTCGTACAAAAAAACAAAATAATAAACATTTTACTTTTACCACCCATTCCGACAGCTGCTGAGGCCACAGAAGTATATCGTATGAC